TGAAAGAACATGGAATACTTTCAGAGTTGACACCTCCGGGAACTCCTCAATGGAATGGAGTATCTGAAAGGAGGAATCGAACCCTGTTAGACATGGTCCGATCGACTATGGGTCTTAGTGAACTTCCAATCTCTTTCTGGGGACATGCACTTTTAACTGCGGCACTTACACTGAATCGTGCTCCGTCAAAGGCAGTGGAAAAGACTCCATATGAATTATGGACAAATAAACCTCCAAGGTTGTCTTTTCTCAAGATTTGGGGATGCGAAGCATATGTCAAGAAACTCATTTCTGACAAACTTCATCCGAAATCTGACAAGGTTTACTTTGTGGGTTATCCAAAAGAAACCAAAGGGTATTACTTCTACAACAAATCCGAGAACAAAGTGTTTGTTGCTCGTGATGGTGTCTTTTTGGAGAAGGAGCATCTCTCCAAAATGATAAGTGTGAGGAAAATCGAACTCGACGAAGTTTGAGAGGACGAGCAACAAGGACAAGTTGACAATCAAAGTGCTCACAAAGCATCTGTTGACATTGGTCAAAGTCAAAATATGCAAAGTCAAACCGACAATGCAAATGCTCAGTCCATCACCCTACGTAGGTCAACTCGGCCAAGATCTCAACTTGACAGATATCTCGGTGTTGTATTAACCAAAGATCAGGACATCCTAGTAGTGGATGAAGATGAGCCGGAAACCTACAAGCAAGCTATGACGAGCCCCGACTTTGCAAAATGGCAAGAGGCCATGAAATCCGAAATGGACTCCATGTTTGAAAATCAAGTATAGGACTTGGTTGATTTACCCGTAGGTTACACACCTATCGGATGTTAATGGATTTTCAAGATGAAAACCGACAAAGATGGAAATGTATTCATTTACAAAGCAAGGCTGGTAGCAAAAGGTTACAGGCAAATTCACGGCGTTGATTATGATGAAACTTTTCTCCAGTAGCTATGCTTAAGTCCGTTCGAATTCTTCTAGCGATTGTTGCATATTACAATTATGAAATATGGAAGATGGACGTCAAAACCGCCTTCCTCAATGGAATTTTGGAAGAAACTGTGTACATGACACAGCCTGAAGGTTTTGTCGACCAGAACAATCCTAAGAAGGTAGGCAAGCTTAAGAAGTCCATTTATGGATTAAAGCAAGCAAGCAGAAGTTGGAATCTTCGATTTGATGAAGCCATCAGTAAGTTTGGTTTTATCAAGAATCCAGATGAGTCTTGTGTTTACAAGAAGGTCAGTGGGAGTGACATCGCCTTCCTAGTCTTACATGTCGATGACATTTTGCTCATTGGAAATAGCATTCCGTTGTTAGAGTCTGTAAAGGCTTTGCTCGGGAAATGTTTTTCAATGAAAGACTTGGGAGAGGCTCAGTACATACTAGGCATCAAAATCTATAGGGATAGATCAAAGAGGATGATAGGAATGAGTCAAAGTACTTACATCGATAAGGTACTAGCTCGATTCCAAATGGAAGGAGCCAAGAGAGGGCACCTACCCATGTCACATTGCATAACCTTAAGCAAGAAGCAGTGTCCAAAGACACCTGATGAGCGAGAAAGGATGATTCGTATTCCATATGCTTCGCTTATTGGATCGATCATGTATGCCATGATATGTACTAGGCCGCATGTATCGTATGCCTTGAGTGCTACGAGCCGATACCAACCAGACCCAGGAGAGGCGCATTGGACTGCGGCCAAGAATATTCTGAAGTACCTGAAAAAGAACAAGGAAAAATTTCTAGTCTATGGCGGTAAAGATGAATTGGTTAATGAGGGATATACCAACGCAAGCTTCCAGACAGATAGAGACGACTCCAAGTCACAATCCGGATACATATTCTGTCTCAATGGAGGAGCGTTTAGTTGGAAGCGTGCAAAGCAAAGCACAACCGCTGATTCTACAACTGAAGCCGAGTACTTGGCAGCGTCTGAGGCAGCCAAGGAGGCAGTTTAGATTCGCAAGTTAATTGATGAACTTGGTGTTGTACCCTCCATCAAGGGTCCAATACACCTCCATTGTGACAACAATGGAGCTATTGCTCAGGCTAGAGAGCCACGAGACATCAGAAGGTCAAATATGTCAAGAGGTGATTTCACATGATTCGAGAATGGAAGACAGAGGGTGAAATCAGAATTTGCAAAGTGGGAACAGATGACAATGTATCCGATCCACTTACTAAACCCTTGTCTCAGGTGAAGCACAACAAACACATTGAGGCAATGGGAATCAAGCATGTTGCGAATTGGCTTTGATTTCCATATTATAGTGTTTTAATTAAATTTTTGGACAATGTTAATGTAAAGCACTATGATGAACCATTCAGTTTTTGGAGTAATTAAAATTTTTCATGCAATTTAATTCACTCCGTCTCTATTTAATTGTGGTTTAGAATTAAATAATGAGTCCATTCGATTTTAATAAATATTCAAAATAGGGTATCAATTCAATGGCTTGGATAAAGAAACACCTATTAAGTGAACATTGAATATTTTAATCGAAAATTATCCCTAATCAAGGTCATATTTTTTGTGGACGATTAATGACCATTAGAGATTAGTGTGTAGTATGATTTATAGCACCGTTTCTTGTGCTATGAGGATATAAATCATTTGCACAGGTATTGGTTTAGAACCATACTAGATCGACCTATGAGAATACTTTAAGAGATTTAAAATCGTCATAAGTATTTTTCTCATTATTACTATCGGAACTCTTTTCCTTGACCATGAGTAGTGGGAGGTCTCTTGTTTGAGTACTAGTTCACTTTGGTATCCGCCAAACATCTGCCGTAACTGGGGATTATAACGAAAGATATCGGGCGGCTAGGTCCTCTTAGTAAGAGAAGCTACATTACAAGACTGGAAATGTCCCCCTACTAACAATAGGGAACATGTCTTGTTGTTTACAAGGACTCTTGAAGAGCGAGACTGTGAAAATGCATGGCCGTGCTCATATGGATTTTATAAATCATCTGCTTATTGCCAGTCAAACTCGGATTTCGAGAAACACTTCTAGACGTAACAGAGATGACGAATAATCTTACTATGTAGTTCATGAAGAGACATGAAGAGACATAGGAAAGGGGCTATACACTAAATGCACACTTGTCCGGAAGAACAAGTGGGAGATTGAAAGGAATGGTGTCCTTCGAACAAGTGTATTATTCTGATAGCGGGTTCAGAATTATTAGAAAGCTAATATATTCAGTAAGGTCAAGTAATCAGAATGCCTGGGTGGATGCCACTTCCGATCAGTAATATTAATATAATTAATATTACAGCTTAATCTTAACTGAACCCTTCGGGTCACACCCAAGCAAAATATACGAACCGACTTGGCGAATTAATTCGGAATAAATTAATTCGTCGCCCGAGTGTTAAATATTTAGACGTCGGTAATTCGAGCTTGGAGCATCAAAACCGATCGTCGGAAGTCGAGTCAAAAATAATAAAAAGACGATACGCGCAAAATAATAATAAATCGACCATATTCCCAAAATACCCCTACCATCGGAATGCCCCGAGCATCGGAATGCCCCGAGCATCCGAATGCTAGGGGCAAAAATGTCCAAGCATAGGTGGCTAGCAAGCGCACCAAGCCGAGCCTAGCATTGCTGGCTAGGTGCGTGCTAGCGCACCGTGCTAGCAGCCACGCACAGCAGCAGCTAGCAACCGCATGCACATGGTGCGTGCAGCAGCTAGCTGCCGCAAGCTAGGCGTGCTAGCAGCCACGCTCAGCAGCAAGCCCGCACCAAGTGCTTGGCCTGCGCGCACAGCAGCAGCCCGCATCTTGGTGTCGGTCTGGGCTCGGGGCTGGGCCATATGGTCGGTCACTATGGGGAAGCTTGAGGAATATGGGAGCAAGTGGGTAAGGACATGTGGCACAAGGAATATGGGAGCAAGTATGGTCCCCTACTCTCCATGTGGTCGTCACCAACCCATTTCACATGGTAATGCCACTTGTAGATTTATTATTAGTTTGCAATTTTAATTTAATTTAGCTTTAAATTAATTTGTGGAATTTGATGATCCCACATTGATTGGATAGAAATTCCCACTCATACTTTCCTCTATAAATACCAACCTTGGGATTTGGAGTAAAGTGTTTGAGTGGGAGTTAGAAAGAGCATTCCATATTTTGGAAAAACTCTTAAACTCCATTAACAATTGGGTTTTGGTCGCACCTTGCTAACTCCAACGTAGCGGACCTAAAAAGTTGTGTTCGTCCTTTGTGGGTGGATACCGTTGGAGGCACGGCATTTGCGGTGCTCAAGGCTTTCAAGTAAAAGCCCGTTTTGAGAGGGCGAAGCTCGCTTCAAGGGTATGATTCGTTCTTCCTTTTCTTGTGCTTATTTAATTATCTTTATAGTTTTATTAATAACGAGTGGTTCCTTGGGTTGGGGTTATTTCCGCGTTGAGTCAGAGTCACCAAACTCCAACAAAGGGGTGTAACCTTCACCCTGTGAACGGTTTACAAGTTCCTAAACTTGTTGCCAACTCTTTTACTCTGGCTTCTTTCCTTTTGGACGCCACCATACTTAAGTGTATGATTACAGTGGGGTTCAAGTTTGAGATAATGCTTGAAATATTCCCTACACCATGGTATGAATTTTCTATTATGGTTTCGAATTACTTAGACAGCATACAAATTTCATTAATAAGTTATGTTTCTTCTCCAATTTTGCGGTATCTTAAAATTGACACCTTCTCTCTCTTTTATAAAATTGCAAATTTTATAGTCAATTCTTAATTGTATATCCCTTCCTTTCTTACTCACCTTTTATATATTTGAGAATTTGCCTAGAATTTACAACATTAAAGGGCGCGTGTAAACACCCAACATAGCCAACATTTATCTTAATTTCTTTTGCTTTTAACTATAAAAGCTCATAATCCCTAAAAATTTTCTACACCCAATGTGATATCAACAAGGGTAAATTCTTAATATTGAAGTAAAGTGAAATGGGGTTACACGAATCAATCAGATCTAACAATAGAATTGTTATGAGATTCATCACAACTCCAAATCCAACAATCTATATATGAAACGGCAAGGAAAAAAATTATCCAAAATTTTCACAAAATGGTGCAACTTTTACCATGATCCAGCAAAAATCAAGAAAGACATAATCACACAAATCAAGAAATCATAAACCCAATTAAACAACAAAATATTACACAAATATCAGATCTGGGTATCCAAACAAATTACAACACTACAAGACCAGCCATTTTCTCTGTAAGAACACAGATCAATTATCAAAATTCCAATAATGCTAGAAAAGCCAACCGACACCTAAAAAAGTAAACACAACAACAAAAATAAGCAAAACCCACACAAAAATTAATCACATAAATCGACAAAATTGAATGCAAAAAAACAACTAAAATTAGAGAGAGAATTAGAATTGAGGTAGAAGAAGAAGAGGCAGAGAAGAAACCGAGAGAGAAGAGTTAGGAAGTTGTGTCGACAAATGAGAAGTAAGCCAAGTGCGAGGTGGTATTTATAGTAATATTGAAATTGATCAAACTACCACCTCGTCCTCTTGCTGCAAGAGCTACAGGCTCATTCTTCCCATCTCCTCGTCCTTTTGCTGCAAACCGACAACTCAAAAAAGGCATTAGAATCCCCTTTATCCTAAAATCCCTGGAGTCAAACACAGTTGAAGATGAAAAATGAAATCGCGGTGTCAGATTATCTTAACTAAAAGAAAGAACAAAAACCAAGAACTTTATGAATTGCACAATCAGGAAATCAAGAAATTCACACTTAATAATAATAATAATAATAATAATAATAATAATAATAATAATAATAATAATAATAATAATTACCGCAGCTACAATGGAACAAAGAAAGCTCATAACACGCTTCAATGGAGAACCTAGCGTGACCTTCTATGAAAGAGCGTGAAAGAAAGAAAGCAACAGTGAGAAAATGACAGAGCAATAGCAGAAATGGAAAGAGGAAGAAAGTAGGAAGAGAGAGAAAAAGTAGACGAATGAGTGAATTCAGGAAAGAAGAAGAAAAAAAAAACAAAAGACAAGTTGAGGTGGAAGCAAAGGAAGTCAACATTCAGTGGCATGACCGCAAATGAAAACCCCAAGCTAAGGGTATATCCAGAACGACACTAACCTACTGTTCATAAGGAACAGTTCCGACAAACTTCTCTCTTTATAAAGTTTGTAGATACGAACTCTATTGATATATAGACAGATTGATTTACCTTTTTAATTGTATCACTAGTAGAAAAATATAGATTAGCACCGACAGATGGTCACTGGTTTTTAAAAATTGGTGAGGAAAAAATGGGGGAAAAAATGGGCGGGATTTTGAGGGAAGGGTATTGTCACCGGTTCGGTTCAAACCGGTGGATAAAATATTAATTCCCCCGCTTTTGAACCGGTGGCTTTTTTAACCCTCCCTCTTTATAAACCCCTAACCCTAACTCTCTCCTCTCTCTCCTCTCCTTTTTCTCTTTCTCTCTCCTGCGCTGCTCTCCTCTTTCTCTATCCTACGATCTCCTCCTTTTGTCTCATCGCCCCCCCTATTCTTTCCCCTCAAAGGCCACTACCACCACCACCATGAACTACTGCCGCCACCAAGACCGACATCAACAACACCCTCCGCTTATTTTCGCATTTTCTCTTTCCTCGTGATGAAACCATAGGTTTTAAGGTCAAATTCGACCATGAAAACTCTAGATCTAGAGTATTCATGGTCGAATTTGGCCTTATAAACCCAATTTCAAGGTATGGAGTGTCGTCTAATGAAGATTTGGGTGTTTGTTTTTTCATTTTTTCTGTTTTTGTTAATTTTTGGGTGGTGGGTGATTGGGTGGTTTTTCGTGGCTGGTGGGTGGTTTTAGGTTGTTCGGTCGTGGGTTATGGGTTGTGGGTCGTGGGTGGTGGGTTGTGGGTCGTGGGTGGTGGGTCGTGGGTCGTGCGTTATTTTTTTTTAATATTGCAGATTTAATTTATGTATGTTTATGTAATTTATGTATGTAATTTTGCAGATTTATGTATATTTATGTAATTTATGTATGTAATTTTTCAGATTTATGTATAGTTATGTAATTTATGTATGTAAATTTGCAGATTTAATTTATGTATATTATGTAATTTATGTATATTATGATTATATTTAAGTGTATCCTTCTTTTTAAGTGAAAAAATGAAAAAAAAAAAAAATTGGGACAGTATTGCCACAGATTAACCGGCTCTAATAACCTAGTATTGCCACCGGTTAACCGGTGGCTGTAGGGAGGGTGTTCCCATCATAGGGGATCCTTTTCCTTAGATGCCCATAGCCCCTTAAAGCCTAGGACTTTACATTGTTAGGGTGTATTAAGATTTGAATTCCTGACTGTTTGGGAGACCTTTGAATTAGAGATGATTCTATCATATACGCTTTTTTGTAAGAAACAAGTAGGAGTCGCCAATGAGTTTTAGGAAAAAAAACCCCATAAACCTCGTTCATGCCTTTCTCCCAAGTAGAGTTCAAGGGATATTTAGCATGAATCATAAGTTTACCCATGCCGAAATTGGTCTAGAAAACCAAAAATGAGTTCGGGAGCGAGGGTACTAAGATAACGTTCCCTTTAGAGGGGAATCGCGATCCTAGACCAAGTGCGGCCTCTACTAGCTCTTCCTTTGCACAATTTCATTTCCAAACAATATACGCAACGTGATATCTAAAACTATGTTAATTGATTTTATTTACACACATTAATTCACATAGGAATTACATCGTAAGGTCGTTATTCTTATTTAATCAAATTCGTGAAAACAACAATAAAATAAACAATATTCGCCTTGACTTAGATGATCAACCAACAATTATTTTATTCAATTCTAATCTTGATAAACGAAAGAATACTATGTGAAATCAATTAATTTATTATTTTAAGGCGATCAAACAACACTAATTAATTAATTAAAGTTCTTTTAAACAATAAAAATAATGGTGATTTAACTAAGTGCTCGGGAATTCACCACTTCTCTTTGTTAGATCTCCGTTTATAACACTTATGGACTCCCGTAGTAACAAAATATCGAAAAGGGTGAGTGTTTTGGACAAGAGGGTTTGGATGCACAAGTTGACAAGTATCCTGCCAGCGTTTCGGTTAATTTTCTGTGTCAAAGCCTCGGATTAGGGTCTTATTTATAGGGAATGTTTAGGTTTAGGGTTTAGAGCATTCTGCCGCAGCAGGTGTCGCGCGCAACTGAGTAGGTTGCATGCGGTTTTCGCGCGCAAGTGAATAGGTCGTGCGCGGTATACGCGCGCAACTATTTGTCTTGCGCGTAGCTCTATGGTAAGATTCGATTTTCCAATATTTTAATATTTTGAATCTTACACGAGCGCATCTCTGAAAGTTGCGCGCAACTGCTGAGCGCGACTTTGTGAGATGCGCGCGATATTTTCCGCGGCAGCTTTTATTTTAACCTAGACGCTTCTAAATCCGTCATTATTGGGTTTTAAGCATGGGCTTAAGCCTAATTATGATCGGGTTTAGTTAATTTGGACCTTGTGTTGGCCTTGTTCTTTTATCTAGGCTAGTCTTTTGTGTTTTGTGGCTTGACCAGTTATCCATAAGCATTCTTTACTTTGATCCAACACGAAGATGGTTTTATTTATCGTCATTACACTTCCTGTCGGGGCAGGAGGTTAAAAGTAGATGTCTACAGTTAGCCCCCACTTTGATCGAGTCTAGAATAGACGATGATCAAAGTAGTCAAGGAAAAATCCGAGACTCGTTCTGCGAAGTTCTCCAAGGTTAGAGAATCTTTCAGTAAGGTTTAAGGATGTCGAAATAGTCCTTGGTTCGCTAAGTGTTTGAAACAAATAGTTATTAAGGCTAGAAAAAAGTTTCCCCTAGTCTTAATGTGCCAAAGAATCTACATTGATCCTTTACAATTGTAGAACGCTTTTACAAGTAAAGGTGTTCTGGGTGATGTCAAGTCATGAGAAGAGATCGGTTTTAAAAGAATAAAAGGGGATGATTTCCTCCCAATCATGTCATCGTTGGTCTAAAGTCCCTCGATATGTCATTCAAACTTTAGCCTGACTTTAACAAAGTAAAAAGAATGAAAAGAGGTTTTCGATATGCGAATCGTAAAGGGGTCCGGTATTCGAGCCGGATGTCCACAAGATAGAAATACATGTCTCAGGACTGGAGGCATATATCCAAATACACTGAGAGAGAAGAAAGTCAGCAACTCTCTCAGCAGTTTTGTCCACAAGATGAGTACACGTGTCTCACGATTGGGGGCACGTGACTACATGGGTGCGACATCGTTTCGTCGCTCTTTATACAGGGGGTGGAAGAACACCCTAACTGTCCGATAAGTTAGTAAGCTCACTAACTACCGTATTTTCTTCCCTTCACGAAGTTCCTGTTCCTTAAGGTTCGGCGCGCCTGTCGACTCGTGAACTAACACCTACAGTAAATAGTCTACCTTTTAGTTACGAGAGGGAGATCTCGCAAAGCTTGGGCTGTGGTGAAATTTTACGCAACACCTACGCCGTACAATTTTACGCTGTACGCTACGCCATTTGCATTTTTACGCTGCATGAAAACGCCTTCCTTTTGCTTCGTACGTGAAAAAGAAGAAAACCCGGACACTTATATCGTCAGTACAGTAAAATGACAAACCTATCTATGGGTGATTTTACGTAAAGCACCACCACGGAACGTCTTAAGGCACGCTTACGAAAAACGTTCAAAACGTATGCTTGGGGAAAGCACAAAGCACGGTGTGCATGAAAAGATGATGCAAAAATCTATCAAAGAAGAAAATAAACTACAAATGCAAAGCAATTTAAAAAGGATTTTGATAATTTGCGCGCTATTACGTCTAATAACGAGCGAAAACTGTCTAAAAATGATCAAACTGATCAAAATCCGGATACCGGTCATTTTAGTGACCAGTATCCGCGCGCAACTCAGTAGGTCGCGCTGGCCAGGCACGCGCATCTTTCTGAGTTGCGCTCGTGTGTCACGCGCAACTTTTAAAGTTGCGCGCGACATTCAGTTCATCAAAAAGAAAATCGTAGAAGCGATTTTTCATTTCGCTTTCTCTCTCTTTCCTTCCTCCATTTTCGCCCCTTTCTTTCTCAATAGAGCTCGGATTTTTGAAGCTAAAGGAAGAAAATTTAGTTCTTAATTCCTTTTTGCCATAATCCAATGTAATTCTTTTGCCATTTTTTGCTCTTTTTTTTGCTGAATTCGAACGATTTTCGAATCGTTAAACCCCAATTTTTGAATTTGGGGTTTTTTTATTTCTTCCATTATTCTTGAAATTGTTTGTTCCATGTTGTCATTCTATGCTTAAGGAGTGTTTTGCAACAAATTTCATGAAAAAATGGTTAAGTATTGAACCTTGTATGAGCATTTCTTCGCTTAAGTTCGTTCTTGCCTTTATTTTTGCTTGAATTCTGCTCGAATTTGTTTTTTTCTTGCTCATTTTGGTTATACTTGTTGATTATGAAGTAGAGTGTAGTATTAGAACTAACATTTCTTTCATAATTCATATTTTGTAAATTTTGAAATTGAAAAATGGCGCGAAGTATATACTTAGTTTGTTTTTGCCATATTCGAACTTCAAGATTGTTTGGCAGACGATAATTGCGTTTTGTTGTTAATATTATTCGCCTGAAAATAATTGATTCCTTGAGATATTGAAATATAATCTCTGAATACTTAGTTGAAACTAGTATAGGATGGCTTTGTGGGTGTTTGAAAGCCCCCATTTACTGAGTTCAATTGCAGGATCGTAGCCCCCAAGCATGGGTGGCATTCGATTTTCGTGTTTCATCCTATCGGTAGCCGTAATGCTGCCGAAATGGATCTAGAACACGTTTATTATCTTAGTTTAGAAAGTAAACTAATAGAGAAACCTTGTTTATCATAGCATGGACTCGCTTCCATTCGTCGATGCTGAGGAGATTTTAGTAGGTCCTGACAAGGTAGTTCACCCTCAAAAAGGGTGACCCGGCCTCGTGAGGAGGTTTGAGAGCAACGTGCCGCTGCTGATCGGCGTCGCCAGGAGGATGTGGTATAGGAGGCTCCTCCCAACTGGGACCCTAGGGTCCTTAAGTGGGACCCAGACCATCACGTCTCGGTTCGAGGGTGGCGTGGCATCGTGAGTTTCTTACGTCTC